ATAATCTCAATAATAATAATTATTATTATTACTACCATAACATTTATATCTCTTGAAAAAAAGTAATTATATTATTAAATATATTTATAATTTAATATAATACTATACATATTTTTAAAAAAGAAAAATGTTATTAAGTTACTTAAAAATTATTATAAGTATTTTATGAAATAAACTTACAAAAATTTGGAATGCTTTTATTAGGAATAGATTATACTGGTTATAATAATAATAATAATAACTATTAAATGAAACTTGTAACATTAAATACAAATAAACAAATAGAAATACAATAATATTCGATATCAACTACACAACAATAGGCAGGACGATAGCTAAGTTGATTTGAAGCTGTTCCTGAATATCAGAGTAAGTTTTAGATATGACAATTCTGAACAAGCAAATGAAAAAAAAATTTTTAATATTACAAATACATAAAATACAGACAGTCTAACACAAATAATACAAATTTGAAATTAGGTTTATCAATATACAAAGTGTATAAGAGAGCAAGATTCAGTAGAGAAAGATAAGATGAATAATAACATGCACTATTCATTCCGAATAATTGGATAAAATGTACAAACATTGATTTAACAATCATAATTTAAAATAATATCGGATTATTTCCGAACGAAATGCAAAGGACGGCGAAAGAGAGCGAAAGTAAAGTAGATGACAGAGCATTATAAAATTTCGTTGCAATATGAGAGAGAGAAAAGGTACTCTGAAATTTAGACGTGTGATGAGTAAGACATGAAAATTGGTATTGGTGATGGGTATCAGGATCAACATTAAAACGAATTAGTTCACGAAGATATCTGGGAATATTAGCACGAAGAACATTATAAGTCAGGCAACGTAAATAGACTATGAAGTGTTGGAAAATATACAGCCAAAGTGTTGCAAATAAGGAGTAATATGGTTACATTTTCTAACACCGTAGGAGAAACGAAGACAGGAATTTTGCATTAGTTATGTTCTATGAAGGTGACGTTGTTTAAGACAAGGGATATATACAGTGTCAACATAATCAAATCAGTGATATAGAAATTGTGTAACATGCAATTTTTAAGAGACCGACAATGATGTTTTGCAATATTAAAATATAGATTACACGGTGACGGTCGCTAACGTTGATTTCATCATACACGCCCGATTCTATGACTTGTAAATCGAGAGACAGAAATATTAAATCCCAAAGAGATGTGCAATTGCTTGTTATTTTTGTAGGAGTATTAATTATCTGTTTTAGCGAGTATAATACGTACAATATTGGCAATAGTGCGTTTAATTTTTAACTAATATTGATTTTATATTGGACAACATTGGCGCATTACACTGCCAATATATTCAATGAATGCCAATATATTCAATAAATTGTATCAATAAATTGTACTAGAGATGTGCTCGGCGGTTTTTATAGCGATCATATCATATATTCTATATGTTAGCAGATTTGTTATATATATATATATATATATATATATATATGTATATATATATGTATATTTCCTGGCATTCTGCCGACAAAATTCGTAGCAAAATTCGACCATTTGCAAATTTTTGATTGCTTTGCCAAAGATATTTGGCAAATTCCATGCTTAGCAACCGCTTTTCGCCGCGCCATGCGCATGATTGTAGGGGTAAAACTGTGCGCCGCAGGGGGTGCGCGAGACGCGCAATACGAGGGACGAAAGCACGCGGACAAGTGTCGTCGAGAAGGATAGTGCGTGCTGTACAAAGTACATAGCACGACGACGTGCGCATTTAACGTCTGATAGTAGATGCCTGATAGTAGAATTATGGTGCGAGCTGCAAAGAGTCGAATACTCGATGCATCATTCGTGACGGCCACTCTGACATTCACGTTGCTGCTGTTCGTCGATCAAGTAAGAACGGCGACAGGCGACCGTAGGTTCGTCGGGTCATATTATTGCTCCCGTTTATAGGGTTGTTAAATGTATATAATTACATCTCGCAAGAGACACGTTTACGTTACTGGAGACGCGTTCCGTTCGCACTCTCTCGTCCGTACAACCCTTGTCCATTCGGCTCCTTCGTCACGTTTTCGATCAATACACGCCCGCCGCCGTGTTTGCCATTCATACATAAGTCTCTTTAGTCTTTTCCATGCTCCTTTAATCCATTGATGGTCGGCGGTTCCTATTTCTGAGATGTAAAATGAATTATTATGAATTAAAACAGTTTTTTGAATTTTGATAAATACTATATAATAAATAAAATAACTCTTATTAATAAACAGCTATCTTTTAAGCCTTTTTGTAATTTCTATAAATACGCGCGTTTCGTAAATCAAAGTTTTCAAGATAATATATTGTTGTAAGAAATATTAGTATAGAATGAGTTTGGATATATTTAAATGGATATATCTTTAAGAAAAAAAAGTTAAATATATGTAATATTCTTTAGATAGTAGCGGATGATCAAAAATAATTTTAAAAATTTGTTATAAACTTTATTCGATTTGTTATGATCTAGCTACTTGTAGCCTTGATTTGAAATAAACAAAGAAAACTTGCACTTTTATTCTAAGGAAATAAATGAATGTCGAAAAATAATCTCCTTTTTTCCTTACCAATTTTACGTATAATAGGTAAAGGCTATAGCATACAAAAAAAAAACTTAAGCACTAAGCAAACTTTTTTTGGTTTTTGCTACTTACGTTATTGTTTTCCGTTCTCTATTCTAATTGACCAATTCGCTTAGACCTGATTACACCGTTTACGTTACTTTGACTTTAAACGAAGCTTAAAAATCTCATTCTTTTTTTTTAAAGTCGATAGAGGCACAGAAAAGGTGGCAGTTTTAAACCTCGCTTAAAATTAAAGTAGGTTCAACTGGGCCTTACTACTTTATATTTTTTTGTGTGTCATAGCCTTAACATCTTAAACGCAAAATGCAATTTTTCAAGTGTGAAATCAATAAAGACTAATGATTTTAAGAAATAAAAGGATCTTTAAGAAGTAAAAATAACATGGATTTAATTAAAATTTTTATAATTTTGCGGTCTTTTTTTTCCTCTCAATTACCGCATCGTTTTGCGATCCTTGTTGATTCATAGAAAATTATGGAAATTGCAATCGTTTGCCTGAACATCTTGTTGAACATCGTGCTTGAAAAACAATAGTTAACCTTGTAATTTTTAAAAATAAGATATAAATTGTGTGATAGAAATAATCATCATTAATAGAATTTTTTGTATCTGTATTTTTTATAATATTGAATTATGTTTATTATTTTTTGATGAAGATTCATTTCTTTGGATTAAAATATCGTTTAATTAATATGCTTTATGTGTATGTATTAAATAAATAGACAATTTCTTTTTAAATAGCTTATTGAATATAATTAATAAAGAGCGCAAAGAAGGGAATGCAAAGAGAGGGGAAAAAATGTCTTTTTTAATTGTATATTTTAGATCATTAATCTGTAACCACAATTATTTTATTATATTTCAAAAATAATAATATAATATAATTATAATATAATT